GCATGCTGAGTGCAGAAGATCTCCACACTGGTTTCAGGCTAATGAAAGCCTGTCTTGCTTTTCCGATCCTGACTTTGACATCCTCGTCTGTGCCTGTGCTGCCTGTAGTTGAAACAGTGCTGGCCAGGTGGATAGGTGAAGGAGGTTACTTCCTTTAAGTTTCTCCCGTTGATGGTGATTGGAGTTTGTTGTTGTTGTTGGAGTTGTTGGTGCGGTATCTTCATCACTTCTGCCTTCTCTATATTCACTTGAAGTCCCGTCTTCGCTGCCCTGCCCTGCCCTGCCCTGCCCCGCCTCTCCTGTCAACTTGTTAGTTTTCGCCTGCAGATCTTCAAGTTTGTGTGACATCAGGCACAAGTCATCGTTGGCGAAATCCAGATCTTCTAGGTTCTTTTCCGCAGTCCAGCCAGTGTATCCCCCTCTTCTCACAGCTCCTCACTGTTTGCTGCATGATCCAGTCTAGTCGACCGCAATCAGGAATATCATGGGTGATAGTAGGCAACCTTGTTTCACTCCTGTCCCCTGTCTTCACTTCGAAAGCATCATTGAGCTTCCCATTGTAAATTACTTGGCTGGCATATGGCGTCTTCATTTAGTTGTTGAATGAGGCTGATAAGGGTTTGCGGTATTCCGTAGTATTGAAGCAGTTTCCAAATTACCTCTAGGTCGACGCTGTCAAAGGCCTCCTCAAAGTCGATAAAGTTGAGGTGTAGAGTTGACTGCCATTCTATACTCTGTTCTATGATGATGCGTAGTGAAGCGTTGCAATTTGGTCGGCACATGATTTGTACTTCCTGAATCCAGCCAGCCTGCGTGTTCCGGTCGTAGTTTTGAGTCCAGTGCATCCTTTAGCCTCTCTCTCCAGGATGATGCGGCATAATATTTTGCTGGCACTGGGTGGACAGGAGAGTGACTCCGCGCCAGTTCTTGCAAACACTGAGGTCTCCCTTCTTCGGCAGTTTGACAAGGTAACCCTTCTTCCAATCAATTGGCAGGTACCTTGTCTTCCTTCCACACCTTCTGCAATAGTGGTGTGGTGTGAGCATGTCCGCTGTTGTCTCTGCGTCTGCTCTCAGTGCTTCTGGCGGGATTCCATCTGGTCCTGCCTCCTTCCCACATTTCAGTATCTTTATGGCGTTCAGGACTTCCATTTGTGTTGGAGGATTTATGTTCACTTGTAGTTCAGCGGTTGGGCTGCAGGTGGTATTTCTGGACGAAGTGCAGGTGGTGGTCGATTCAAGAGCTTCTTGAAGTGGTCGGCCCATCGTTTCCTTTGTTTCTCTTCTTTCGTAATTAAATTTCCATCATCATCTTTTATTGGCTTCGTCTGCTTTGATCTCTTCCCTTTCAGATAGCAACCTGGTTATTTGATACAATGTTGTCAGGTCTCTGTCTCTCCTACCTGCAGCAGCCTGTTCTGCTTCACTTGCCAGTCTTTCGTAGAAGTGTCTTTTGTCTTTGCGTGCACTCTTCTTCACTTCCTTGTCCAGTGTAGTGTTTTATACATTGTACCCAGTTCCTCTTGTCGTTGAGTATCCTTGCACTGCACTGGTTTATCTTCTGCTTCACCATCCTCCTCTCCATGCTCTATCAGCTTCCAGGTATCCGTCCAGATCCATTCCACTCCTTATCTTCTTTCTTCTTCCTTCCTAATACTGTTGTGCAGGTTTCTTTCCACACAGCTTTCAAAGACTTCCAGTGTTCTTCCACACAGGTTTCTTCAGGGATGTTCCTCGGTATCTCCCATTTTGTCTTGATGGCTGGCTGCCGTGAAGATCTCCTTTGTAGTTTCATCCTTCAGTTTCCGAGTGTTGTACTTGAATTGAGGTCTATCACCAGCTTCCTTGAAGGCTTTCAACTTGATTTGGAAGGCAGGTTCCTTGCACTAGATAGTGAGTGATATGAACCTACATCTGCTCCTCTTCTTGACCTTGTGTCAAGTAGACTGCGTCTCCATTTTCTTCACATTGAGATAAAGTCGATTTGATTTTTAGTGTGTCAATCTGGTGAAATCAACTCCATGTCGCTTTGTGGATATCCTTGTGCTTAAACACACTGTCTGTCTCCAATCACCAAACCGTTGAATGCACAGAATTCTGCAAACAATTCTCCATTCTCGTTCATCACCTCACCGAGCGCTTCTCGACCCATGGTTAGTTCTCTTCTTGTGTCGTCCGCTCCCAGTTTGGCATTCATGTCACCCCACCCATTAGAATGAGTTTTGATATCGCCAACTGATGTTGGGTCTTGTCCAGTGTTGATTGAAGTTGTCTGTAGAATTCCTCCTTTTTCTCTTGATCTTCAATATTTGTAGGTGCGTAGCCTAGCATTGTATGATTGTGACCTTCCTTCCTTCCTTTTGAGTTGAACCCGTCTTGCTGTCATGATCCTGCATGAGGAGATTGGTTGCCACTGCATGAGAGTCTTCGATGCTGTTGGGGATATCATGATAGCCACTCCAAAACTCAGTGTGCTCGTGGTTGTCGTCTGGGTGTATGAGTCAGTGAGTGAGTGAGTGAGTGAGTGAGTGAGTGAGTGAGTGAGTGAGTGAGTGAGGGAGTGAGTGAGTGCGTCAATGAGTCAGTGAGTCAGTGAGTCAGTGAGTCTGTGAGTCAGTCAGCCAGTCAGCAAGTCAGTCAGCCAGTCAGTCAATCAATCAGTCATACAGACGAACAGACAGACAGTCGGCTGTCAGTCATTCATTGATACACCACACACCTACAATTTCATGCAAATTCACAACCAACCTCAATCAACAACAACAACAGCAACAACAACATGAAACACTATGCACCAACATTCACAATCATAGTCATCAACATCACGCAGGTGCTGCTGTCAATATCCATCATCAGCATCATAATGTTCGAAACTTCATGATGATGTTGCACACAACAAACTTATAGCTAGCTTCCTGCCCACGCCGACGCTGACTCTGACAACAATGCACATCGGATGATGAGGATGAAGTGTCCAGTGGTCAACACCAGTAGACCAATCTGGATCGTGTCATCAACAAACCAGTCCGCGTATCATACTGACAGTTGGCATGCAAAGGAATGTGACAGTGAAGGAGTGAGGCCTAGTCTGTGTGAAAATGTGAACCTACCGAAGGGTGCATGTGTAGATGGCGAAGTCGTCATGGTCACCATCGGTGTTGCTGTCTCTGTTGTTTTCGTTGTTGCTGCGACCACCGTGGTCGTGGTCTCTGTCGTCCTCGTCGTAGTCAGCATGGTTGGTGCGACAGACGTGACAGGCGTTGTCGAGGTCGATGTCGATGTCGATGTCGCTGTTGTGGTGGCTGCCGTTGTCACAGCTGGTCCAGTGAATCGTGTTGAGACACTCATGTCTGTCTCCTGCTCAATGCTGCTTCTCTCAGTCTCCACAACTGTCGATGTGTCTGTACAGAGGTGGACGAGAGGAGAGACAGTCAGTTAAACACACATGCATAGTAATCACAAACTGTACACACACACACACACACACACACACACATGTATGCATACACATATATTTGCCTGTATGCAAGTGCAGGCTGGAAGGCATGCTTGCACACCTACAACACCAGTGCATACTCTCATCACATCGACTGCCATGACATAGTGTGTCGACTGCGGCTGACGTGTCCTCTACTGTTACATTGATCAATTGAGAAAGACGCTTCACCGGCAAAATCATTGACATATTCACTACGACTCCACCTGAGTATCCCTCGACAAGTACATTCCTGGTTTGGTTATTCCTTGTCATCACGACAATATTTGTTCAACGCCACCTTTCCCGAAAACGCCACTCATTCTTGGCCTAAATCTTTGTGCTATTTATCACACTTATTTCATTCCACATTCAGATAAACATTTCAGTGTTCTGCCGCTGCTATTCTCGGGCACGTTAACCAGTCAGATCTTGAATGCATCAGGGAATTGGTTTTCTTAAATTTTTCGTAGTTCTAGGTGGTAGTAAGAGAAGTGAAAGATGGCAGGACTGTAGATTGAACAGGCTGTTATTATGGGGTATTTAAGGACGCTGGTCTGATGTTCGTGATAGGTGAGCAGCTAATGTGGGCGATAATGACGGCACTCAATCTGACTGGTGACAATCAATGATCGTCCTAGTCTTGATGAAAGGAGAGAAATTCGGTTGTGATGACCTAAATGGATGCAGTCTCACTTTGGTGAGTTATTCGGCATATTTATTCCGTATCACACGAGTCGAAGCTGAATAATCAGCTGTGTATACACCAATTAACAATAATTCGTCTTCCTATATATTGCATTACAACATGTCTACCGATGACGCAATTGCCCTAGCTGTTGCCCTGTCACAACCACACTCGGAACAACTCAATCTTCTCGCACATTTCAAATTCTAATTCTCAATTCCTAACCTGCATTCCACGAAGCCTGAGACATTGGTGTTTACTATCTCTCTGTTTAGAGACTCTTCACTTACCTCTCACTTGAATCTCAATTACCTCTCTCTCGCTCTCTCCGTCACTGCTAACTGGCGACATTCACCGATACGAGTTATTTATCTCTGGTTGTCGTCATCCAGCATCCTTTCTCATCTCCACGCATCACCTCGAAGGAATTGCTTATTTAACGGTGGTGTCCTGGGTGACATGCATACAGGTGTTCATATCTTCAGTGTCCCTAGGTGTGTTCAGCATGAGATACTGAAGAGGAGGGAATTTCGACCACTCTGCTATCCACACATTCAGCTGAAGATCGAGGAGATTGAGAGACGGCGAACAAAAGAATGTGAAGGAATCAGGAAGAAGCGGTGCTGAGTGTTCGTCAATTTCCAGATGGTCACTTGCACATAAGTGTCGGCGTGTCTGCGTGTCTGTGTGTCGGTGTTCAAAATCATAGGATAAGAGTTGAGAGTGAGGAAAGTGGAAAAGCAGGATACCACACTATCGTGGAACCATCTCTTCCATGTGAACACATGTTCGACAATATGCAAGAAAACTGTCATTCAGAGAACAAGTTTCGACCTACCCATAGTTATGGTTGATGCAGTTGAGGAGAGTGGAGTGGCCTGCTTCGAGACATCGGCGTCACTCTGATGAGAGCTGCTTCGCATCGTTGAAATTCCTGTCGATGAGCCTGTTGATAAAGACAAATGGAAGCATGACAAACGCATAGAAACACAGAAAGGTGAATGGTATGAATCGATTGGTCATGAGTGAGAATGCATTGCATCTCGACTGGCCATCTGCATGAGCACGCCTGTTTCACGACAGAGACACAATGCCTCGAGACGAACACAACGACAACCACAACAACTCAACAGGCCCACGTCCACTGCACTCAAATAAACGTGCACACACACACACACACACACACACACACACACTCACGTAGCACACATAATATTGCTCACCAACCACACCACAATGGTGAACAGACCTGCACTACCATTTGAAAAATTCATTCACAGACATTCATCTGCACACAACCAAGTCGACGAGTAATACCGAGAACTTGTTCATCATCTCCTCTCAGCTCGCTCAACTAAACACAAGCAAAGCCAATATGTGCTGAGATACACTAGGGGAAAAGCCAACAAGCACGGGTGAGAATGACATCGTCCCACCCACCTGAACAATATATCGAGCGAGCAACAATGATTATGCGAAGTAACACGAATCACCAGAGACTGCCAACAGGCAAACCGATGGATGCAGCACACTTCCCACTGTCTGTCCACTACACTGCCAACACACTCGATTCACACTCACACTGAAGTACACAGAAAACAATGATCAATGACTCACGGTATGCTGTGATATTTCTCAGACTCGGTCCACTGGTAATATTGAGCCTGCTGCAACCACGAACCAGTATGTCAGTCATGTCCACTTGACTCAGCTGTGAAGCTCGTGGTGAATGGAACTGCACACTCAGCATGGCTTGCACACCGTCGATCGACACACGATCCACTCCACCTCCACCTCCACTCACATATATCCAGATGAAGATTCGAAGGAAGCTGACATGCACACAGCTGGCACCTCGAGAGACCTCTTCATCACCGATCTGAAGACCCCTGAGTACCTGGAAGATGGAAGACGAGAGAAGCAAGGACAACAACACAGTCAGTCATGTATCTCGATCACACTATATTGAAATGTTACTGTTCCCAATGGTGATAATTGTAGTATGCATAGTAGTTCGATTGCATATGATCGTTGACTTGATCGGTGTGCGCAGAGTCATCTGCACCAATATGCTTGATTCCAGACTGATTGCCATTGGCCGTCGGACAACAGACACACAATTCACGTCTCTATGAATGAAGTCAGACTGACTCGGCTGGCGAACACTACCATCGCGTCGTGCGCAAGAGTGTTAGGCAAGCGAACAACGGGTGGATGGTCGAATCAGTGGAAGGATCAATGCATATCGCAACGCCTACACACAACCATTCACAACATTCACCCACACATTTGCATACACTGCCATGAGCAAACGTGCTCACGCTGACACTGACGCTGACGCTGACGCTCACGCACACACACGCAGGCACACGCAGGCACACGCACAGAGATGAAGAAAATATGGTGAGGATAAGAAATCAACACCTACCAGGTCACAAGACGACATTGACAGGCTCCTGAACTCGGCACTCGACTGATTCAACAGATTGACTGTCCAAGGCATGGGGGTTGACAGCTCCTCAACATAGATGATGACATCCACCTCGAACGATGTGGTCACTACATGTGGTTAAATGAAGGGGGTGAAACGAAATGAATGAATAAATGAATAAATAAAGTGAGTCAGTGAGTCAGTGAGTGAGTGTGTGTGTGGAATGAGTAGAATGATGTGTTCGCCAAGTGTTCACACAATTCTGATGTGACGAGTGGAAACTGTCTGGCTGCTCTCGATGGCTGACGCATTGACAACTGATTTGTTCACAGTCATCTCGTCAAGTCGAAATGTTAGGTAAAGGCGATTCTGGATCGAGTGGGTTACACTCGATTGAGGAAGAGGTGTTGGAGAACAGCTGAACACATATATGGTAACCACAACCTACGAGGCACATGCATGTGCTCATCACAAGTTGGATTTCTGCTGGCCTCCTCACATCTCTGCCAGTCAATCATTCAGTCAGATAGCCAGCCTTCCAGCTGGCCTGTCTCTCTGCATACATTCATGAATGCATACTTGACCGTGTTTTATCATTGTAATCTACTCTCAATGAAGTTGCTCGCTATTCGTGACTTCAATTGACGTTTACTGATGAATGACAATTTACGACTGAAACGTGATTGGAGCGTGGGTGACTTGTCGTAGGCTAGCAGATACACAATGACTAGTAGAGCAAATTTTGCAAATGCTTGTATACTTATGAACTGCAGCTGTCAAACTGCTGAAAGCAATGCATGTTGTCACATCTTGACTTGTTCATCGTTGGCTGTAGAGGGCTACGTTATTGTTGTTGTTGCTGTTGTTGGCGAACGGTGTGACAATGAACTTCAGTTTGCATCCACTTCACTATGGTGAGTGATAGCATGTTGAGAGAGTGAGTGAAGATGAGGAATCTGGAAGGTGGTGGTTATCTGTTCACGCAGTATTTAATCTCAGTAAGGCTGAGAAGTGTCTTGTTGCCATTGATCACTCGAGAAATCATTGTTGGTTTCCTCGGTGCGATGCACTGTTGAGTGTCTCAGATCGTGAAGCTTCATGTGTGGGTTCGCTGTTGAGGTTGACAAGTTGTGAAATCTCTGTGGTATCAGACACGGAAGGAATGTTTCTGCACCTGCAGGACCAGATGTTTCGAGGTTTCTGTAGTTGTTGGATGGTGCAAGTGTGAATCCAGTGTGGTAGTGAGTGACGGTGGCTGTGTGTGAAACAACCACTTGACCACTTCGTGCTAATTCGGTACTATGCAAGGTCAGCTGGATATTCGTCTCTTGTGGCTGACTGTCAGGAGATGTCACAGAATTCATTGTGTCCTCAGATGACATTCAGTGAGCAGGAGACTTTGTATTGGATAATTGATGAGACTTATGCAAGGTGGGATTCTGCCGACCGACATGGATATCAACAACCTAGCTGCTCATCGACAAATGAATCGGGAGTACCGCACTTGAACACTGAGAGATTTGTCAGCCGACAATTTGTATGTGGACCGTGTGATGGACTAGGCTGGGATGTTGTTGATTCACTGCAGTTCTATACATGAGGAAGATTATGAGATGTTTGTCATAGCACTAGAATCATTTGGAATTGATGACAGAGTGTTTGTTGTCCAAACGATATTCAGTTTAGCACTCTGTGTGGATTGATTGGGCCACTCAATCAGTAGATTTGAAAAGAGTGTGATTTTAGTAGGTTGTAGCTAACAATGCATCTTGTGAGTGTATTTTGATGAATGTGGATAAGTGAGTGTGTATTGCATTAGGAAATGGTGGGTGGGTGGCGAAAACACACACGTAAGATCGAACGAAGTAGGAGATGTGGTAATGATAGCGAACAAACAGGCTAGCTGGTAGGTTCATAAGATTTTATGAATGTTAATCTGATGAGATGATAATCGTGGGATCACAATGAGCTGGATTTGACGTCAGAGACCTTGAGGTTCTATCACCATTCAGGTAGCCACATTTTGTGGGATGTCAGAGACAGTGGGACAGTAGTTCTGAAGACATTCTGAGTGTTGAGGCTGGCAAGTGAACAAGACACTTTGACAGTGTCTTTCGTCAAACCTGGATAGGGTAGTGTGCATTGAATTGACATTCGTGAGATGAGTGGCGAAATCTCACAAGCAAGTTTCAAGTAGGAGATAGAGTTTCTATGGTGGAGGGAGGTTCTTCATTTCACGGGACTATATGTGTGTGATTATGCGTGGTTATCCGAATGAAGAAGATGGTTTATTGAATACCGTTAAAGAAGGAAGGAAAGGTAGAAGGGCTGTTATGTATGAGCATGGATTTTGTCCAATGGAGCGTGTGAAGGAGGAGAAATGTGGTTGTGATGTAGACGGTGTAGACGAATCCCACACTTCCCAGAATAGTCAATGAGAGAGAGAGAGAGAGAGAGAGAGAGGAGATTGCACCACGATGAGGTCATTGGAATTAGGTGTAATGTGAGTGTGGAATGGAAGTCATAGTGCAGCACTGACACATGAGTTGGATATTTGAGTTGGAATCCAGTGATAATCGTTTGTTTCGGTGTTCAGTGTGGTTGATATATTAGGTGCGTTATGACAAATATGATACGGTCAGCAACTGTGTTCATGCCTGTTGGAATGTGTAGGTCATCCGGAAGTTGTCAGCATGATTTCAACGTGTGTAGTCTGACCAAGCAGCTGTCACATGTTTCTGTTGCAAATTGTACTCCATGGAGTTGATGGAGATTTGGCTTTGCGTCTTTCACTCATTTCTCCTTCGTATCTTCATCGTTTAGTACTTGCAAGTTGAAGGAATGGAATGCAATGTGCGATAAGGCTGTGTTTAGTTAAAGAATCGAGGGTGATGTTGAGCTGGAGATGTTTCGGTGAGATGAAGGATTGTGTGGTGGGAGATGCGTTGGAGTATGCTTCGGATGGAATTGGATGCAAGCATCCGTGTTTGAGATAATGATGAGAAGTGTAGGAAAGCAAAGGAGAATTGCATTGATTAGGCATATCCTGGTTGTGAGATGTGGGGAGATATGGGCTATGTGGTAGAAAACGTGATCAACATCAACTGGTATCAATCAGATGAGTAGTTCGGTGGATATGCCACAATATGTTGTTGTTGTTCCTATTGTGTGAGTGTTTTTTTTATCATCATTTAGCACTGGTGTTGAGAAGAACATCTGTGTTGCAAAGTATCTGGAATGAATGTAGGTGAACAACGAGGATGAATGTTTGCGTATTAGCACACTAGACATCCATGTGAGGTTATGTTATTGGGTTGAGAAAATGACACCTGTCTAATAGGTCGTTCATAGAGGAATACGAGAAGAAAATATATTTTGTGCGAACACTCGGATTTCCTATGAGGTCAGATGAAACATGCCAAGAGCTTTGACGTGCATGAATGGTCTATTTTCTGTGAGGGTGAATGAATTTGGAGACTGGTAACGAGTAAAACGATGATGCAATGAAATTTGCACACAGTGTGAAGTCTTACGTGTGATTAGCGAAATAATAAGACACGTGAAATTGGAAGCGCGATAAGATGTAGCTATTGAAACAACCAAAATTAGGGTAAGCCGTGAGAACCGAATCCTGGAAGAGAGAAATGCTGAGTGAGAAAAAGTAGAAGAAATAAGTTGATAATAGGGGTGAGGATGGAGATTCCAGAGATCAGTGAAGAATAATGATGAAGGGCATGGAGGCAGTGAAGAAAGCGAATGAGAAGAGACCATAAAGGAGAGAAAGTGGATGGAAAGGTGAAGCGTGTGAGTAGCTGAAGAGAGTAATCGAAAGCATTCTGTGTAACACAGAGACAGTGAAGATGAATGTGTGAGAGTGAAGGAGTGAGGGAATGTGTGTGGTGAAATGTGAACTTACCGAAGGGTGAAGGAGTAGATGAGTGAGCCGTGATGATCGTTGTCACTGTGGTAGTCGGTGTGGTCGTTGTGTTGTCTGTGATGTCTGTCGTCACTGTGGTTGTCGTATTCGCAGTCAGCATGGTCGGCGTGACAAACGTGACAGGCGTTGTCGTCTTTGCAGTGGCAGTGGCTGTGGCTGTGGCTATCGTTGTTGTTGTTGGTGTTGTTGGTGGTGTGGTTGTGGCTGTCACCGTTGTGGTCTGTTTGGTTGTTACAGCTGGTCGAGTGAATCGTGTTGAGATACTCGTGTCTGTCTCCTGCTCGATGCTGCTTCTCTCAGTCTCCACAACTGTCGATGTGTCTGTACAGAGGTGGACGAGAGGAGAGACAGTCAGTTAACAGTTAAACACACATGCATAGTGATCACAATCTGCACACTTACATATATGAATATATCCACGTATATGTCTCCATGGTTGTCTAGGCTGGAATATATACTTTCTTACCTACTACCTCAGTGTAGACACTGATAACATCGACGGCAGTCTCATTTACTTTGGTTTAAATGACAAGTCTCCTTGTGTTTCATTCACCGAATCACATGAATGCTTCGTTCCCTTGACAAGCTACATGTATCCACCCTACCATAAACGAAGTAGATGAGGTTGCACTACATACCTATTGTAACTGTGATATCATCTACACAGACATTCTCTTCATGTTTCTCTTCAACATCACCACTCGGCATCACCAAGAGACGTGAAACAGGTACACATCCATCTTCAACCTCTCTATTCTCATGTTCATCTTGTTCTTCCCCTCGTCACGCAATGCAACAAATATAGCCTCACATAATTAGATTCGAAAGGAAAATCAAACACATTGTATTCTCCCAAGCTCTGGTCCATTCATAGACTTCGTCTTCTGATGTTAATATTGAGCTAGATACGAAATTCTCAGTCTCTTACTTCGCAACCACTGCCATGAAAATCTGGTGCTTAGTCTCCTATGTCTCCACACCGTTGATTTAGTTTTTGAGCTACGAACTTCCGAAATGTTTGATGAACCGAAAATAAGGCATTTCAATGTATAATTCTGGAATCTCTATCCATAGATGTATGCTGTGTCTCTGAGAGACTTGAGCGGTTATGAAGTAGGCCTCACCTGGACATTGAAGTGAATCTTGAAAATTCACATTACGAGTATTCGGAGACCGAATGGCTAGCTCTCG